ATTTTTTTAAATAAAATAAAAAAAGATAAATTATTAGATAATTTTAAAAGGGATTGTAATATGAAACTACAAATTTTCATTTAAATTAGTTGTTAGAAAACTACTTTCAAATTGGTTTATGTTATATTCACTCAAATAGAAAACGGAACAAAAATTGAAGATTTTTCTTGACAAAATTAGCAAAAATGTTATTTTACTATGTTTTTTATAATAACCAACAACATTGATTTATGCATATCAAAAGTAGACGACAGAGGCACACAATAGAGATCAGTTCTATTATTTTTGTAAGTGTAATGCAAAGTAGAATCGGTAAAAGAGCTAACTGAAACAATATTATAACTTTATGTATTGATTTTGAATACGAATTATACTAAATACATAATTACATTCCTAATACAATCTTCGCACAAAAGTTTGATTAATATGATCAAGTCCTCAAGATTCGGCTTTAGTTGAGTCTGTAACCTTGTAATTCATAGCTTAAATTTTCATTTCATATGCAAAGATTATAGAATTGATATTCTTGAGAATATCATTCAAATATGCAAGAATTAACAAGGTATTATCAGCATCAAAGTTTGCTTGATTCTTGTCTCTTATTATGATTTTAAGAGAAAATTTTGTAGCATTACTTTCTCTCTTTTTTTTCTTTTCTTTTTTTTTTCCTGTCCAACAAACAAAGAAAACACAAAAAAAGAAAAACAAAAAACAAAACCAACCCACTAAGGTCCACGGTCCAGAGTATCCAAATCAATAGCCCTTCAACACCTCGGATGGCCAAACATCCCAACTTACATCACCAGATTGAGAGGCCATTGCCAATTGACTGATAATGTGAGCAACCGAATTGTTTTCCCTTGGCGTCCACCCAAGTCGAAAATGAGAATTTTTCTGCAACATGAACCGGATATCTTCCGTTAAAGGAAAGGAGAGGGGTCCTGAGGATGGGTAGAAATGATGGATAAGCAATCACCTTCTATATCTACCTTATCATAACCCCATTGGATTAGCAACTTCAATCCTTCACGGAGAACCCAAGCCTCAGCAACCTCTGAACTAGCCACATGAGAAGTAAAAACAGATGCAATTCTAATTGGATTACCATCAGAATTTCTCAAAATAAGACCACTGCCAGCTACTTTTAAAAAAGATCTAAAGGCTGCATCAAAATTAAGCTTAACTCGACCCTCAGTTGGAGGAACCCTATGAGAGGGAGAAGCCAACCAAGAAGGAGAAATCGTGGAAGGAAAACCTTGATCAAGAAAAGCCCAGAACTCATTAAAATGAAATAAAGCTCGATCCACAATATTCATAGGATTCCATTTGATTCCATTGAAACAAAAGTCATTTCTTGTCTTCCAAATCTGCAAACACATAAATGAAAACAAACTGATAAGTTGGTCAAAATAATCAGCTTTCTTCCACTGATCCGATATATTGCACCAAACCGCCGGCCAAGAACTAGAAGCCTCATTACTGAAGTCCAGACACAATGGACTATATTTCTAAGCAACTAGAGCAATAGGGCATTTACAAAACATATGAAGAGAAGATTCATCTTCCATCCCACAAACTTTACAAATAGCTTTAGATACGACATGAAATTTTTTAAGATTCAGCATGACCGGTAAACGATCCATTAAACTTTGCCAAATGAAAAATTGAATTTTTCTCTTAGTTTTAATCTTCCAAATTTCCTTCCATTTGGGGAGAAACTCTTGATCAATGCTACGACATGGACGACCTAAAGATTTAAAAGGTTGAAGATCAGAATCAATGACTGCCTTATAAGAACTTCGAACGCTAAACATCCCATTACGAAATAAACCCCAAATTTTGACATCTTCACCACCGAACTCTCTAAGTGGAATTTGAAGGATAAGAGTTGCATCTCTTTTATTGAAAATTTTGACAACTAAATCATGCTTCCATTGCTTGAGATCATGATTAATAAGATCCGTAACTGTAGAAATTGAAGAGAATCTAGGCTTGGGGGATGTCACAAAAAAATTATTCGGATCAGGAAGCCAGGGATCCTTCTAACAATCAATTTTACTAGACTAACCTTTTAAATTCTATAATAATTTTTTTTTTTTTTTTTCCAAATATTCAGCTCAATATATAAATGATAATGTAAAATATTGGGCTTGTTAGTTGAGACCTGACAGGCCCAAAATTACAAAAGTATGAAAGAAGAGCAAGCCCAAAGGCAACAGAGGCCTAAGCCTCTGCTTGCAATCTTTGATCCACTTCCTCTTGTTCACTCTAATGATCTAAGAACAACTCCCACCACACCATAATGGTGGGAATTGTTAGTTCATTCATATATAGCACCAGGAGGCAAGTGTAGGCCACAAATAATAATATTCAATGAAACGAGCTCAAAATAACCCATTTTTGGGTTTTTTCCAAAAATTCATTCTTCCAAATAGTGCCTTAAGACTGTTGCTGCCAGATTTTTTTTTTGAAAAAAAAAAAAAAAACGCTCTGCCCAAAATGGAATCTATTTGGCAAAATATATATATATATATATATAGCGATCGAGCTTGGCCTCGGCATTATTTAGCTAACCAACCAGCGAGCCATTGTGAGCCCGCCCAATTATCGCGAGCCCACTGCTGTGCATTTGAGCTCCCAAATTGTGGTATTTGGATTTCGTGAGCCAACAAGAAGCAAGGTGTCAGCAACTGGACTTTTAAATATATTCAATCCAAAAATTTTAATTAAGGTGGTGTACACCTGCCATTACCTTTCAAAAAAAAAAAAAACCCGCCCTTATAGGCTTAAGACATAATTCAAATTGAATGTGCAAAGTCACTCTTTTTCAATAAAATAACTCTAGTATATTTTTTTCTCTTCTTAATACAAATTTACATTTATTAAATGAAAAAATGAATAAAATAACATAAAAATTACAATGCTTTGAACTTGAGGATCAGTTCTTTGATTTGAATGGAACATTCGAAGAGAGAAGTAAATAGATGCAGTTCTTATATTCTAATTAAGTATTGATAGTTGATATTTCAATTCATCATTCCTTTGAATTCATCCTTGACTACTGACGAAGTTTTAGATCTTGCCTCTGTAACATTAATATATTGAAATAAAATGGAGAAGATAGAATGATAATTTTAATTAAAATATTGTTTTTTTTTTTTTTTTTTTTTTTTTTTTTATAAGTTGTGGCCTTGTGAGAGTCTTGAAGTTGAATCCTCCTTTAATTAATCAAATTAAGGTTCAGATTCTATTTTTTCTTTGCAAGTAAAAGCAAAAGCTATAACTTCCGCTTCTCTTTTCACGTAAAAACAAAAGTAAAAATTATGCCAAACGGGTCTTTTAGAGTGATTCAACGATTGACAATGCAAGTGATTTTTATCATCTATCTGCCCTGAATCAATCTAAATCTCTTCCCGTGTAGCAATCAAAAAACCTAAATCAAAATAAAAAGACTTGGCATATATTAAAACATAGTAACCAACGGGCCAGTTGCCTAGCAGTATCAGCCTCTTATCTTCTAAAGAGAGGTCAGGGGTTCAAGTCTCATAAGAGACCGTGTGTGTGAGTACCAACTAAAAAAAAAAAAAAACATAGTAAACATCACTCGCAAGAAATTCAGCTGGTTCAATTATTCACTTTTCATTTGAGTTATATCCCTTAATATAAGGTGAATTGAGATGAGAGAATTACGAAACCACAAACAAACGACCAACCAAATCATATATTAAAACACATTCATCAACAGTTACTTAAAAGCAAAATTTGGTTTCTTTCACCAAAAACAGAGAGCTCATTTACCGAAAATATATAAATATTTACCAAAAAATTAGAGAACTCCTTACAACAGAAAATATTAATCATGTCTAAAATTATTTCATTTGGCAATTATTTCCTATTTGTTGTTCTCAACAGAAGCATGATTGTCTATAGTAACAGTTACTCAGCAGAGGTATATTCAGTAGTGCATCTACAGAAACATTGTAGATCAACAACCATGAACCTAATTTCCAATTTAGAACAGATCAAAGTAAAGAAACAAGCATGAACCTAATTTTGTAGACCGAAAAACATGTTGATATATCAGAACCTTCTCAAATATCCTATTTAGTGCAGTATGACGAAGGTACGTGTCAGACATGGCTTCATTTTTGGATGAATCTTCATCCGCTCCTCCTTGCTTTGCCCCAAGAAAGCTGAACAGAAATGAATGAGAGGACTTCATTCCTACTCATGGGGAAAACTGCTCCTAGGACTATGGTCCAAATTCCATCAGGAGAGTCCAGGGAAAAGAAGACGTTATCGGGTTTTTACTCCGCTCGGATGTGTTCGCTTTGCTCTAATACCACTTTGCTGGAAATAAGTGGCCTATACACACACTTTAGTTTCCAACAGTACGCATCCCACCATAAATTCTGCATTACAACGTTCACAATCACTACTGTAGCAGAATCTAGACGAGCTGTTAAAATCATATAACAAAAGATCCAAGCATATTCTCATAATCACCATTACTGCAAGTCCTCATTGCATATGTAACATCGAATATGATGTAGCTTCATTTGCTGATGTTTCACTTTTCTTTCTTTTTTGGATTATAAATTTGATGATTTTAAAATGCTTGGTATAGGGGAATATATATAGGTATAGAATTTTGAATTGCATATATCCTGTAAAGAAAATTCAGACTTGTCATACTTGACTGTGCTGAGTCTTAAGAATTCTGAGCACATAGTGGCATCACATATTGTGTTCGTATGGATTGTCCATAAAACAAAAAGAAGAAAGGCCATCAAGATTAATGCATAGAAAATCTCCCCTGAACCAATTCAATCCACCAATCAAGAATTCAACATATAAAAGCTATAAAGAGACAAGTTCTATACACCAAATTGTCACTAGTTCACAACCATAAACTACTAAACATGCCTATGTTCTAAAACAATAAAAGAATCCAAATCAAAAATTTGGAATCAATTATAGAATAACAAAAATTGATAACATTGGGAGGGAAAATTTATTTACTGGGAAAAAAATAAAATAAAATAGCATTGCACAAATGAAAAGTTTAGTGATCTTTTTAGTTAGAAAACTCACAGTTTTGATTGTCCTCATTGATAAAATAACTGGACTACTATCTCATTGGTATGGACGGTACCAAATGGTATCAACTTCGCGCCATTATGATCTATTAGTAGCTCCCCCTCATCGATCAGGCTCCGTTTGTTCCACAGTTGCTTGGAGTAGTCTTTTAATGTCCAAATTGTCTTCAGGTCATAATCTATCACTGCCAAACGCTCTCTAAGAGGTATTAAATAAGAGTCATAATTGGCTCCTTGAGGAAGAGGTATGACTCGAAACTTCTCCTGTCCCACCTCGAAAGCAACCAACACATCTTCATTTGAAATCGTATCCAAAGTAAGTATAAAATAGATAACACCGGCAATGCAACAATATCTATCAATATTCGTCATTAATTCAACAAATTGATGCAACATAGAATCATCAATATCTCTCCAAGAGTTGGTCCCCAGAGTCAAAATCTTGTACTCAATTCCTGTTTTTTCCTTTAACGCCATTGTGAATAGTAGTAGAGCATCTGCTAAGCACTTTGTATTCCATTGTGGAAGGATCAAACCCTAAGAAGTGATAAATTTTCAGTTTAAAGGGTTCTGAATCTTCCATGAGAAAAGACAGGGTCATGGGTGGGATGGATATGCGTTCTCGCATCCTAAGATTCCATATGTAGCCGTCCGTATGGATCAAACCGTTAACACAGTGATACTTTGTATCTGACTCTAAGGCGGAGAAGGGCAGATATAGAATGTGATGGACTATGTCTCCCTCTGGCTCTGCAGAATCGAGTAGTCGACAACCATCATATCTTTTGCTAACAAGGAGGATACTGGTACCGGAGCTAGCATGGTGCCAGTTAACGAAAGCTATATCAATAATGGAGCACCAAAGCTTGGAAACACATCTAAATTTTAGCAAACTTTTCACCGGAAGCTGTTCAAGTATCTTGACGAAAATATCTGGCGGAACTGAAAAACAATCAAACTTTCTTTCCTTTCCCATCGTTGAAGCGGAAGCGGAAGCTATTGATTGAACCAAAAACAACTTTAAATTGACAAAATTCAGAGAAAATTGCAGTAAATTGACTCTTGTAATATATGCATATTTATAATTATAATGAAGAGAACCTAAAACTATAAGGAAAGCAACAAAGGAAACCCTATCCACATAAGGAAAGAAAAATGACCAAAATTAAACTTTCCACTAGATAAAATAGAATATGGCCAAAAACATCAAAACCTCACCAAAAAAATTATAATAATAGTGTCTCGGCCCGCTTAGCCTTAAATATATATATAATTATGTCTTCCACACCACCAATAAGCAAGAAATTTATTCACATTAAAGTTGGAACTAGAGTGGATTTTGTTTGATGTGGTAGATCATCACTTCAAAGTCGGAACAAAATCAATTCATGCAAAATACTTGAACAAAACTCCATTTTTTAACACCAATCACAATGCAAATAAGTAGAATGAAGAATACCTTGATGTTTGTCAATGCATTGATGATGAACAGATTCCATTGCTTCTTTCCGATTGCAAACTGACCCAGTAGCTATAGCCCTAACCTATGGTTCCAAGTTCAAGCATAAATCTAGAGAGAGAGAGAGAGAGAGAGAGGAAATCAGTTTTTGAGAGAGAAACGAAGGAAGATTTGCAGATAACAGAGGAGGAATGGTTGGGCGATGGGAAATTTTGGGGGGAAAAGAGCGTAAAAAGCCCTAAAATGAGGTGGACGGACATTAACGAACGGCGCTAAGAAACACGCTCCTTATATTCCAAACCACTTGCCAGACCGGGCTCTTTTAGTAGTTTATGGGTTTGGCGCATTTTTTTAGGCTTTATTCGTTGCCTTTCTCGGCCTTGTTTGTGGGCTTGTTTACTCCTGTTGGGCTTGGTGGTTGTTGTTCCGTTGCTTAGCCCAGGTTTGCTTTTGAGCTTTTGTTTTCTTTCTTTCTTGTTTACTAAGCTATTACACAGAGAATTGTTCACTTTGCCATGTGTAGATGCAAAATTTCACTCAACCAATAATGATTGAGAAAAATAAAACAACTCACACAAAAAACAATAAAAATAAATAAGAACAGTGTATAGAGAAGCGTAAATTGCTTGATCCCTTTATTGGAGGTCTAAGCCTTTATTTATATACAAAAGATTGTAAAATTATGATAGGACTCGCGTTACTTGTCCTCCAATTCTTTCTATATAAACATTCTTTACTAATAGAGTTCTTTCCATTGTCTAATTTTCCATACATAGAACTTGCCCTGTACAGAACTTCCTATCTCAGAATTTTCCTTCTACGGTAAATCCTTCAACTGGTAGGACTTGTGTATTCTTGAGTAACTGGGCTGAACATACTTTGATCCGGCTGGGCTTGAGTAACGGACCGGATGTTAAATATTAACATGTTGGGCTGATAATCTCTTAATTCGGGCTTCAACAGGGCTGAAGGTCATATAACAATAGTATTGGGCTTGTGAACAATGATCTTGGACTAGTATCAAACTCAATTTGGGTTTGAGCGAGGTGGGCTTTATAAACTTATCAAGGATATGTTTATATTTATGATGACATGGATTATTCTCATTGGAGGGGATTTTTTCCCTCCACACTTAGCCCCCAATTCCTTTTTTAATTGGAGTACTACTCCTAATAAGAAGGGAATTGAAGCTGTACGATTACCAATTTCGTAAGAAGTGGATTTGAGGCGTGATTACTGATATTCTGACCAAAGGGTTTCCATAAGAGTTACTTCCGCTCTTACTGCGTTCATTTCATTCCTTACGTTCTTCACTTTGTCACATCACTGGGTTAGAGCATTTGTCATGGCAGAGACTAGAGCACCTTGGAAGCCATTTATATCTAGAGCTGATAAATTAGTTCTTCACTCTGGTGATTCTATGATTACCTACCCCTCTGTAGCACTAGCAGTTGCTCGGGGAATGTAATATGGAGTTGGAAGAACTGCCTCCATCTGCCCCTGTTCGAGCCATTGAGGTTCGTCATTCTCCCTTCCTTTTTGTCTTCTCTCCATCAAGAAGTTGGAGAAAGATCTTGGCAATTCTTAAAAGAAGGTCTCGTATGCAGCCATGAATGCAAAGATTGCATCTTGGTGCGCTTGTCCAGGACTAAAGCCTTTCGGTTTGGCTTTGTACAAGGTTCGGGAGACAAGTTGAACGATCCGGAGGCCTTTAATGCTGACATGGAAGTGTCCTTCCCTTATCTTGAGGGTCTACAAGCCCAAGAAGCTGAAGTGCTTTTTGCTGAAATGGTGAAGTCTCATCAGGTTGATCATCTAGCTCCAACTTCATCAGTTCTTGCAGCTCCCAACCCTTCGATTCCTCCAACTTCAAGTCCAACTGTGGTGGACACTTTTGACTCTGCTCTGTTATGGGAATTTGTGACTGCCCTTACATTGCATACGCTTTGTTGCACAGTAATGTCCTCCTGTTTCTCAAGAAAATACACTTGTTTGAGGACCTTATATTTTTTGTGGTCCGAAGTGTACAGTTCCTCGGCACTGAGCCTGAGAGGAAATGTACTGAACTGGACACTTAGAGTCCTAAGCAAAGTATTCCTCGGCGCTAAGCCTTAGAGGAAATCTGCTGAATCGGACACTTAGGATCAGAAGCGAATCGGTCCTCGGCGTTGAGCCTTAGAGGAAACGTGCTGAACTGGACACTTAGGGTCTGAAGCGAAGTATTCTTCGGTGCTGAGCCTTAAAGGAAACGTGTTGAACCGGACACTTAGGGTCCGAAGCGAATTATTCCTCAGCGCTGAGCCTTAGAGGAACTGTAATGTAACGGACTCTGAAGAGCCGAGGCATGTAGTTCCTCGGCGATAAGTTTGAGGGAAACTGTATTATACCAGACTCTGGAGGTCCGAGGTATCTAATTCCTCGGCAATGAGCCTGAGAGGAACTGTAATGTACCGGACTCTCGAAGTCTGAGGTATGCAGTTCCTCGGCTATGAGCCTGAGATGAACTATAATGTACCAGACTCTTGAAGTCTGAGGTATGTAGTTCCTCGGCTATGAGCCTGAGAGGAACTGTAATGTACCGGACTCTTGAGGTCCGAGGTAGTAAGTTCCTCGGCCATGAGCCTGAGAGGAACTGTAAGGTATCGGACTCTTGAGGTCCGAGGTAGTAAGTTCCTCGGCTATGAGCTTGAGAGGAACTGTAATGTACCGGACTCTCGAAGTCTGAGGTATGCAGTTCCTCGGCTATGAGCCTGAGAGGAACTATAATGTACCGGACTCTCGAAGTCTGAGGTATGCAGTTCCTCGGCTATGAGCCTGAGAGGAACTGTAATGTACCCGACTCTTGAAGTCTGAGGTATGTAGTTCCTCGGCTATGAGCTTGAGAGGAACTATAATGTACCAGACTCTTGAGGTCCGAGGTAGTAAGTTCCTCGACCATAAGCCTGAGAGGAACTGCAAGGTATCGGACTCTTGAGGTCCGAGGTAGTAAGTTCCTCGGCTATGAGCTTGAGAGGAACTGTAATGTACCAGACTCATGAGGTCCGAGGTAGTAAGTTCCTCGGCCATGAGCCTGAAAGGAACTGTAATGTATCGGACTCTTGAGGTCCGAGGTATGTAGTTCCTCAGCGATGAGCCTGAAAGGAATTGTAATGTATCGGACTCTTGAGGTCCGAGGTAGTAAGTTCCTCGGCCATGAGCCTGAGAGGAACTGTAAGATATCGGACTCTTGAGGTCCGAGGTAGTAAGTTCCTCGGCTATGAGCTTGAGAGGAACTGTAATGTACCAGACTCATGAGGTCCGAGGTAGTAAGTTCCTCGGCCATGAGCCTGAAAGGAACTATAATGTATCGGACTCTTGAAGTCCGAGGTATGTAATTCCTCAGCGATGAGCCTGCAAGGAATTGTAATGTATCGGACTCTTGAGGTCCGAGGTAGTAAGTTCCTCGGCCATGAGCCTGAGAGGAACTGCAAGGTATCGGACTCTTGAGGTCCGAGGTAGTAAGTTCCTCGGCTATGAGCTTGAGAGGAACTGTAATGTACCAGACTCATGAGGTCCGAGGTAGTAAGTTCCTCGGCCATGAGCCTGAAAGGAACTGTAATGTATCGGACTCTTGAGGTCCGAGGTATGTAGTTCCTCAGCGATGAGCCTGAAAGGAATTGTAATGTATCGGACTCTTGAGGTCCGAGGTAGTAAGTTCCTCGACTATGAGCCTGAGGAACTGTATTTAGGCCAGATAGTCTGGGCTTAAAAAAGAGAGAATATGTTTTCTTTTCTTAATATCTCTTTAGGGCTGCTTATACTGCCCCCGTTATGGAAGGTATTGCTCCCATGAAGGAAAGAAAAATATGTCTCGTTTGATGGCGGCGATACAGATAATTTTCATGTAATTATACACATCGGCACTCTTTGTGCTTTGGAGGAGTTTACATGAAAATTTAACCTTCGACGTATTTGAGTTCGAGGTGATTTTCATGTAATTTTATTCATCGGCACTGTTTTGTACCTTAGAGAATTTTGTATTTGAGGTAATTTTCATGAAATTTTATTCCTGTTGCAGCTTATTATGCGTTAAAGGAATTTTGAAGTCTTCGGACTCTTGAGGTCCGAAGATGAATTTTCTTCCTCGGCAGCTCGTTGTGCCTTTAGAGGAAATTTGAAGTCCTCGGACTCTTGAGGTCCGAAGATGAATTTTCTTCCTTGGCAGCTCGTTATGCCTTAGAGATAATTTGAAGTCCTCGGACTCTTAAGGTCCGAAGATGAGTATTCTTCCTCGGCAGCTCGTTGTGCCTTAGAGGAATTTTGAAATCTGCGGACTCTTGAGGTCCGAAGATGAATTTTATTCCTTGGCAGCTCTGTGTGGCTTAGAGGAAGTTTGAAATATGCGGACTTGTGAGGTCCGAAGATGAATTTTATTCCTCGGCAGCTCTGTGTGCCTTAGAGGAAGTTTGAAATATGCAGACTCGTGATGTCCGAAGATGAATTTTATTCCTCGGCAGCTCTGTGTGCCTTAGAGGAACTTTGAAGTCCTCGGACTCTTGAGGTCCGAAGATGAATTTTCTTCCTCGGCAGCTCGTTGTGCCTTAGAGGAAATATGCAGACTCGTGATGTCCGAAGATGAATTTTATTCCTCGGCAGCTCTGTGTGCCTTAGAGGAACTTTGAAGTCCTCGGACTCTTGAGGTCCGAAAATGAATTTTCTTCCTCGGCAGCTCGTTGTGCCTTAGAGGAATTGTGAAATTTACGGACTCTTGAGGTCCGACGATAAATTTTATTCCTCGGCAGCTCTGTGTGCCTTAGAGGAAACTTGAAGTCCTCGGACTCTTGAGGTCCGAAGATAAATTTTCTTCTTGGCAGCTCGTTGTGCCTTAGAAGAAATTTTACTTTTTGATACTTTCGAACTCTTGAGGTCCGAGGCTACTTTTTGGTGTTCGGCTTGCCCCCAATTTTTTTCTTTTTTTTTTTTTTTTTTTTCCAACGTTTTGACACCACATATAGCATAGCTGCATAGTTGGGCTATTTGCCACTTCACTTGGGGATCAGTCTTTCTTGCCATGCAAATAAACCAAACCCAAATATTATTAATCAATATACGAATAAGGAGCAAATATGAAGTAATTTGTAAACAAAGTTATCAGAAGCATGTAAAATAATTACATGTAGCATATAGCAACTGATTGAAGGAAATAAAGAATTTGAAGAACTTCTTATATATCACAATTGAATTTTTAATAAGATATTCTAATTAGCAGCAAGTA